GCATGACTTCCCTGAAGAGTGCCATCCCATCCTCCATTCTGCTTTCACAGAACTGTTTCCCCATAGACAGTCATCAGCGGGAGACTGAGGAGGGTCTTGGGGCTGGGCCTGCAGAACCAGCATGCAGGAAGCAAGTGCGGGGCCCCTCTGGGCACTCAGGTCCTGAGCCCTCTGGGGGGCACAGAGCTCACAGGCTGCGGGCGCATGCCTGCCAGGTCGTCATAGTGTCCCTGACAGAGCAGGAGTTTGCCTCCTTTTTTTTTTTTTCTCTTTAACCTGGATCATTTCTAAATCCTGGAAATTCATAGTGAAAAGGTAGTGCTGGAGCCTGAAATCCAACCCAGCACACACATCCTGTGCAGGAACAACCGAATCAATCAGTGTAAAAAGCATGCAATCAAGTCAGCGGAAGCAGAGGGGCTGGGGCCGAGAGAGGCTCTGCTCCATGAGGCAGGGCCGCATGACTCTCTGTGCTCTTCTGTATTGAGCTTCTCTAAACAGGGCAAAGGGGAGGTTCTACCCAGAGCCCTTCATTAACAGAGCTGCCCCTTGGTCATGGAGAGTTCCTGTGGGTGTCTAGCGATTAGGAGTTTCAAGCTCATCATGACCCTCAGCCCCCTCGCCACAGCCTCCCCCCCACCCTGGCCTCGCTGGACCCCATTGCCTCATGTCTCTCCTAGGGCACAGAGCATGACAGACAGGCGTCACGTGCCAGTCCCGCTCTGCCACGGATGCCAAGTGTGACCCTGAGCAACCACCTTCCCCTCTTCGGGCCTCTATTGAATCCAACCTAAGCAAGGCAGAGATTATTCTTCCTAATTCACAGATGAAGGAAGGAAGGCCCCTGCTCCCTCATGACTGTAATCCAGGTCCCACCTGGTCCAATGCTCCCTTCAGCACCCTCCCCCCTCACAGGGCCAAGCAGTCCCCTCCCAGCCTAGTCACCAACACCTACAGGCCATATCCCCAGCTGTCTGCTGCCCCTGACCTGTGAGACCTCAGCAAAGCAAAGACACAGACTCCCCCTGCCTTCTCTTCTCCTGGCCCCCGGCACTGGCCCCTCCCTCCCCCAGCCTTCACTTGACCCCAGGAGGGCTCCCTCCCCACCTTCTATTTACCTGCAGCCCCTGAGGCAGGCCCGGGTAGGGAGTGGGAGAAGCGGGCTCAGGATGGGGGGACATCTGGTGCCCATTGCCCATGGCCTATTACAACCATGAGGAGGATAGTCCTCGCTAGGACCTCTCTAGCTTGTCCCCCTCAGAGCCACCTCCTCCTGAGTCCCCTCAGGCTTTTCCAGAGAGCCTCGGTGGCTGAGCCAAGCTCTCCACTGCTTCCTCTCAGTTGGGTGTGAAGAATGTCCCCTCTCAGTCCTGCTACATGGTCTGTGCAGCAGGAAGCCAGCCTGTTGCTCTCACCTGCATGGCAGAGCACCTCTGTGCTGGGGGTAGCAGGGGTCAGGGTGCAAGGGGGTGGATTACAAGCAGCACCCAGAGTGGTGGGCTCCACAGAAAGGTGAGATCACCCTTCCACAGCAGTCCTTCCAGGCTCCATGGAGGAGGCACCCCTGAGCAGCAGGCCCTCTTTGGTCCAGCAGGCAGCTTCTCCTGCAGAGTGAGCCCCTTCCCACCAGCCACATAGCATAACTCCCAGCAAACCAGCATCTCCTGCATCCCTCCTCTGCCTCTGCACACCCCATGGCCCTAGGACCTAACTCAGCCCACCATCCTCTGCCAGCAGACATATTCAGGCCTCAGGGCCAAGGCTGCATTCCCTCCTGCCCCTGTCTATCTAGTCAATATAAATTGGGGCCTCCATTGGTGCTCTTTGGTGCCTGACCAATGGGAGGTGGAGGAGAACCTCACTTCCATAGCTTGGCACAGCTTTCCTTCTACCCAGGGACCCCCTTAGGCTCCCAAACTGGATGGCTTTCTGCCTTCCAAGCCCTGGCTCCTGTTTGGTGCACATGTTCTGTCCCCAAGGATGTGGCCTGGAGGATATACTTGTGGGGTGGCAGTGGGCGACAATGACCTAAGCCTGTCCCATGTCCTGGGCAGAAATCAGTCCATCCTGGAACCAGGTTAAAATATTCCATCTGCAGTTGGGAAGCCATACACAACTTCCCCCGAGAAGTCCAAAAGCAATGCTGAAGGGCACTGGGCAGAAATGAGTTATGAGACTTTTCCCACAAGGGCCAGGGCCACAGCTCAAGCCAGACAGCTGGCAGCCCCCAGGCCCCTCTGGCAGCCCCCAGGCCCCTCTGCCAGACCCTGCCCCCCCCAGACGCTGCCCTGGCCACTCCAGGCAATCCTCTGCCCCTGTCCTCAGGCCTCAGCACATCTTGTTCTCTTTACTGAAATACCATTCCACCTCCCCACCCTGCTCATCTGGACCTCATTCATTTGTCCATGTGTTCATTCACCAAGAATTCCAACAGTCTCTCCTGTGGCCCAGGCACTGGGCTGCATGCCAGCGACACGCCATGAACCAGGAAGCCCAGGAAAGTCCCTGCTTTCATGGGGCTTGTGTTCTGGGGACAGAAGAGACATGGACGGGTAGCTACATCTATGAACAAGAGCACCAGTTGGTGGGGGAGTTATTAGAGGCAGGGCCGGGGTTCATCTGAACTAGAAGGATCAGGGAAGGCCTCCCTCCATGAAGACATGGCCTCTGTGCAGTGAGAGGAACCTGCAGGCAAGAGCATGCAGGGCCTGTGCACCCAGGAGACAGCTTGAGGGTACCTGCTGGGAAGTGGAAAAATATTGAGGGGGGAAAAAGAGTGTGCAAGAATGTGTGTGAAGGGGACTCAAGGGTCTGTCCATCCCTTCAGATCTCAGTGAGATTAAAATGTCACCCCTCCAGGAAGCCTGCCCTGACCCCTGCACATCCATTTGTCTGGCTCTGCTGTTCAATTGCAGGTGCCGTGAGGGCAGGGCCACATCTGTCTTGTTCCACCCGAATCTCTGCCGAGCAGCCCCTGATGAGTGTGCTCTGTGTACTGTTCTTCAGTGCAAGGGAGGAAGGTAGGCGGGTGGGTGCACCTGTGTCAGAGAGGGTCCCTGCACCCTTTGAGGGAAGCCAGGGGTCCCTCACTTAGCACATTCTACCCAGTCAGGAGCATTCCTGGGCATGGAGAACTGTGTTGGCCTCACAGGGAGAGCTGATAGCAGGGTCTCTGACCATGACTTTAAACTCAAACCTCCCACATTTTGCTGGGCCGAACTCCCAGAGCAGGCAGTGGGGAATGATCATGTACAGACAAAAGCAACTGTGGATGGACCCGGGTGGGCAGCAAAGAGAAGAACAAGGACATGGGGAGACCTTGCTATGGAAATGTTATGTTGCTGTGCTTACAGCTAACATATTTCGGTTTGAGAAGAAATGCCTTATTATTTTATAAAACTATTAGAAAAATTGTAAGATGCCAAGCGTGAAAAGCTACCCTCACTTGGGCCCTGCCTAAGGCAAAATCATCTTTACTTATAAAATGTGTTTCATTTGAGTACTGAGCTTGGCTAGAGTCTCTCCCAGGAATCTGAACGTGGATAAAAGAGGAACGAGCCTTACTGTCTTGATAACACCTAGGCTTTTTTCAAAAGACTCTGAAATGCTTATTTCAAAGAACAAGTGGATTTTGATAACATTCAGGAACTGGCAAAGTTAAGTTCTGGTTTTAGAATCCATTGAACTACAACTTTGGGGAGGAGCATGGGAGCACCTACTGGGCAAGAGCAACGGAAATATTTTCTTCTGGAGCAACGTTTAGAATCCATTGAACTACAACTTTGGGGAGGAGCATGGGAGCACCTACTGGGCAAGAGCAGGAGGATTCTTCTGGAGCAACTGAAATATTTTCTTTCTTGATCTAGGTGATGAGTTCATGAGTGTGATTTTGTGAGGATTCATTGAATTGTGCACTGTTCTGTATGTATGTTATATTTCAACTAAAAAAGAAGGGAAAAAAAAGAACCAGTGCCAGAAGTTCTGTAGCTCCGAGGGTGACTCAGCACAAGTGGGTCACTGGGCATATGGGGGGGCAGAGGTAAAAAGGTGCCTCCTTGAGGAGGTCTTGCTGGCCTCCAGCCCCAGCCAGCACCTGGCCATCTTCACTGGGCATTTCTGGAGAGGAGAATATATCTTCCTCTTCCCTGATCACTCATGCCTGCACAGAATGTTCCAGGGATGTGTGCTGAATGAATTAGAATGAGGATGCAGTGCCCATGTGCAAACACTTAATGTGTGAAATGGAAAAGGAATGGCCCAGGGAGTGGAAGCAACGTGCTGAGGGTCCGGCTGGAATGTGTGGTTTCGGCTGTTGGCAGAGGTGGGGTGGCGTGGGGAGGGAGGGGAGAGCTGGACTCAGCCAGAGGGTCAGTAGGGCGATGTAGGTGTGGAGGGAGTCAGGGCCTTCTGAGGCGGGGGTGGGCCTGGTTGCGACGCTGTTCCGGCAGCCCCTCACAATGTGTAACACCGCTGACCTACCTTCCCTGCTTTTAGAAACAGATGCACACGAGTCCATTTCACACCAGCCAGCACAGGCCCTATTAGCCAGCTGCTGTTACCCTTTCCTCTCTTGACCTCCACAAGACGGGAAATATCAGAGAACACACATGTTTCCGTGCTTGATTTTTCTGGACTCTGGAGAAGCCTTGGGAAAAGAAGATATTGCCAGAAGTAGCACTGACTTACCGAGCACAGTCAGCTCTGCTATCTCCTTCAAACAGAAGTTTCTGTAGGACACAGCCTTGCACCGCTGCCAGAACCCCACAGGGGCCACCCTGCAAAGATTGATAGTCATTACAGCCAGTGAGAACTGGCCCAGGGCAGAGCTCTCTGCTCCACCCACAGGTTACTGAGCATGAGCCCCGCTGCAAGGTTCCCTGGGAAACAGGGGTCTCTGACATGGCAACTGCTTCTAGAATGTGCTTGCTCTGAGTCACAGAGAGGGGGTGACAAAGCCCCAGTGCCCCCCCAGAGGATGGGGGGAGTCTGCAATGTGTCACAGGAGGAAAGTGATAGCTCACAGTCAGTAGGTGTGAAGCCAGGGATGTCTCCATAGGTTTCCCATCATCCAGGAAAAGTTTTCATGTCCATAGGCTGAGGGTGTCAATCATTTACCCAGCCTTTGAGGCCCATCCTAAAGGCCTCCTCCTCCAGGAAGCCTTCCCTGACCATCTCATCTGGCAGCGAGCCCCTTCAGCAGCCTCTGCTTATGTGAGCTTCTTCTGCCCAGCTTATGGACTGCATGGGCACCCCTTTATATGTGTCTTTGTCCCCTCCCACCTTGTAGTGCAAAGGCTCTTTGAGGAGCTCATCCCTATAGGCATCAGGGGGCTTAGCACAGGGCCTGGCCCCCAGGACATGTCGGCAAAGGCCAATGCATCCCTATCCAGGTTCAAGAACTGTCAGAGCAGCAGGCTGGGGGCTGTCTTGAAGTGGGGGTGCAAGAAGATGGGCTAAGGTTGGCCACATGAGGGAGAGGCAGAATCTGGTGGCTCTGGGGCTCTTCCTCAGGCAGTGTGGGGGAGGCGGGATCCTGGGGCTCGAGAAACAGAACCTCGTTGAGCTGCCCTGATCCATCTGATGATTCTTCACTCCTGGATTTAGAGTTTCTTCTGGCCCTTAATGAGTATATCTTGGGAAATGTGCATAGCCACGTTCAAAGCCTGCCACCATCTACCTGCGTTCCCCTGGCTTCTATGACACTTTCTCTTCATGCACCTGCTCCACACACTTGACACCTGTGCCTTCTCCTACAGCCTCTAGATTTCATCCAGCTTTCTCTTCATGCTGCCGCCTACCTAGAGTGCTTTTCTCCCCCCACCCCACCCTGCATGTGATGGCCCAGCACAAAGGTCCCAGGGAAACTTAAGAGCAACCTGCCTTTTTCTGCACAATGCCATATTTTAACGAGGGTATGTCATTAAAGGAAAAACTCTGAAGTTTCCATTCTTCATTGAAACAGCAAAAGGTTGAACCAAACAGAAGGGTCTTTATTTCCTGTACAAAAAAGAGAGAGTTTTATTCGTTGTTTTAAAAGCAAACAATGCTCAATGTACATATTCCCACAGGAGGTGGACTTTAATTCTAGCAGGGCAGTCCATTTTCCAGCAGGGTTATCTCTTTTCTTTTTATTTTGCAAGCCCATTCTTCTCATATTTGAGGAAACAGAAACTTGACCTTCAGGGTCTTACCTCCGAAACATCTGTAAACTAAACCAGCCTGAGCTGACATAGGCCAAAATCTTTGCAGGTTCCTTACAGAGAGCTTGAAATACAAAATTTTAGTTTTGCAAGGAATCTTGGAGGTCTTCTGATCCTCTACAGAAAGGCTTTTAAACCTGACCTCACATTATAGTCACCTAGAGGCTTTTAAACCTGACCTCACATTAGAGTCACCTAGGGAGCTCTTAAAAATAATCCCAATGTTCATGCTACATGCCAGATCAATTAAATCTGAATTCCTGAGGGTAGAATCCAATAGTGTAGTAATCAGTAGTTTTAAAACTGCACCAGATGATTTCACTGTGCAGACAGGTTTGAGAACCAATGCTCTAGCACAGGGACAGCAAAATAAGACCCCCACAGGCCAGTCTGGCTCTGTCACCTGTTTTTGTAAATAAAGTTTTACTGGCACACAGAAATGTCCATTTGTTTAAATTTTGTCTATGGCTGCTTTTACACTATAATAGCAGAGTTGAATAGTTGCAACAGAGACCATATGGCCAGCAAAACTAAATATACACTATCCAGCCCTTTACAGAAAAATTTTGCAGAAGGATCCCCTCCAGGACACCACCCATGAGTGATCCCCCATAAACTCTGCTTGAACACCCCAACCACCCAGTGAAGAGGTTCCCGCTACCTCCCAAGGCAGCCCTCCGTGTTTTCACAGCTCTGTCTTCTCTAGACTTCGGGCTGATATTGCACTTACTGTTTGTCTCCCCTCAACCCAAGCATCACCCTCTGGAGCCCCAGAAATGGTCAATCCCTTCCCCACTGACAGGACCTTGGATGGGAGGGCAGAGTCTCTCCCATCAGCTCCCTTGATGAGCCCACCCTCTCTTTCTTTCCTGTTTCTACATTCAAGGGGTCTTTGAAGTCATGAGTGAGCCCCAGGACCAACAGGGAGCAACCTCTCCTGGAACCCCCCACTGGGTCAGACCTTTCCTACAGACTTGGATTATTTTCCACTAGAATTGGCTCTTTTTTTTCTTTTTGTTAAGTATAAGGAAAGTCTCTGTGACAGAAGCATTCGTCTATGTGTGCTATGGTTTGAATGTGTACCCCCAAATTCATTTGCAAACTTAATCCCCAATGCAGCATATCAAGAGGTGGGACCTTTAAGAAATAGGTCATGAGGGTTCTGCCATTATCACGGGAGTGGGTTCCTGGTAAAAAGGATGAGTTTAGCCTACCCTTCCCTCTCTGTCTCATGAACTTGATTCTGCCCTCCACCCTCCCGCCATAGTGTGACCCTTGCCAGATGTTGGTGCCATGCTCTTGGACTTCCCAGCCTCCAGAAACATGAGCCAAATAAACTTCATTTCTTTATAAGTTACCCAAGCTGTGGTATTTGCGCCCAGTCTGAGGAAAATGGGCTAAGATAATGTGTCATAAAATGTGGGCTGGTGGCATATTTCATGACACATTATAGGACAGAGGATGCGTGAAGTCACATGTTAGGACTTGGTTCCCCTTCCTGTGCCAACTACAATCATCATGTGTTTGAACCGAGTTTCCTGAGAGACAAGAAGCTGTAGAGACTTGGGTTTTCTGGCTGAACCCCATCACCATTCTCTTAGTCCCTGAATGAAAGCTCTACGCTGGGCATGGTGTGGTCAACAGCGCCTGGAAATCTGGACTCCACTTGCCCTGGATCTCACATGCCCTGAGCTTCCTTTTCTCTGTGAGCTGCATTTTTTCCAGCCCCTTTTGGAGATGCTATTGCTGGGTGGTGTATGACAGCACCCTCTGCAAAGAATCACAGCCCTGTGGCTACGGGTGGCCAGAGAACTTACTCCCAGGGTTGGGGCCACTTAAATTTGTCTGACTGTGGCTTCAAAAGAGGGAAGGGAGGGAGAGGAAGGAGAAGGGGAAGGAAGGAAAGGACAAAACCTCTAGAAAAATCTTTTACTTTTTGATCTGTGTGCTAAGTAAATATATAGTAAGTGGGAAGAAAAGAAGGTCTGCTGTGTCCTTGAGGATCCTAGCTGAAAAGCTAGTGGAGGACAGCAAGAGCAACATTCCACTCTGCAGGAACCTCTGGCCAAGGGGGAGGGGGAGGCCACCCTGGTCACTGAGGGTAGTGAGGAATCCAGAACACCCCTGCAAAGGAGGCTGCTAAGGCCAGGAGCCTGCTCTCCATGTCCCATGGCCACTGGTCCATCCAGGAGGCCACGGGTGTGAACCTGGATGGTGCTGCTGAGGCCAGGAGGCTGCTCCCCATGCCCCATGGCCACGGGTCTCTCCAGGAGGCCATGGGTATGAACCTGGTGCTAAGGAACTGTGAACACCTCTCTGTCCTTCCCTCACTGTAACCCAGCCGGAGCCCAGCCCAGCCCAGTGCAGGAGCAGAGCTTGCAGATGACAATCGTGCTCCGATGGCACCCATTAGGGATGCAGCAGAGAAAGAACTGGGTTCTACGGCGCCTGGATGGACAGAGTACAACCTTCTCCCTCACCTTTCCTCTCAGAGAGGGAACAGGAGCTGCTGGGGCAAGAACAGTTTTCCTGACCCTCAGTTCAGCTTTTCTTCTACATGCCACCCAAATTTCCATTTCGACAATGACCAAGAGATCACAATGAGATGGGCTGGGCTAGAAAGATCAAAATCACATCATCCACATCAATTCCAGTCCCAACATATCCGACATGTGATGCTCCTTACACTTCTCAATTTACACCTACCTTTGCTACTGAGAGGTCGATTGGCTTTGATGCTATTTGCAGCTTGGGCATTGATGGGACTGGGGACAGGACGACTTCTTCCCTTATCAATTCATCCTCCACATCCTCTGAAAGAAAAGCATGGCCATGTGAGCCTCTTGTTATGACTCACAGAGAACAGAGTATGAAGTCATTTAACACCACAGACACTGGTGAGTCTGGAGAAGGTTTGAGCAGAAGAAGCGCCCCTCCACCATCCACTCCAGCCTCCACTTTGGGGCTTTTTGGCCTTCATCAGGAGGAAAGAAAGGACAGAGAGAGACCTTGCTGCCTGTAACAGTCCCTCCCTGGTCATGCCACAAGGATGCTGCTCGGTGGCAGTTAGCTACTGGTCCACTAAAAAATTCCACTAGAAAATTCAAAATGCAGTGAAACAAGTGCCTGGAGGCTGCACCATCGGACCAGGCCCAGGAAAGCTGAGCCCAGACACATTTCTTACAAAAAGTGGGCATGACGTGCAAGTCCATCCCCCTGAGGACAAGCACCAGGAGGACAGAATTAGGACACAAAACACAATCATTCCTGATAAAATAATACTAACAGTAAATTAGCACTATTGTAGCTTAAATCTATTGGTCACTTGGATTTTATCACCTAACCCCCATAACAGCCCTATTAGGCAGTAATTACTATTACCCCATTTACAGATGAAGAAACTGAGGCTTAGTAACTGTCCCCAAGTGAAGGAAATGGGAAGTGGCAGACAGGCTGACTCCTAGTTATCTTACAGTTGGGGCAACTGAGGCCCAGAGAGGGTCTCACCTGAGTCTTTGGCAGCACCAGCCCATGCCTTCCCAGCTGGCTGAGGCCCCCTCTCACCATTACACCCACAGCCGCTGCATTTCCCAGAACTCAAAGGAGCCGAGGAAAAGCAATCCAAGGAAATGTGCTGGCAAAGCTGAGCAGGGTGGGGACTCCAGACAGGGTCTCAGGCCTCGGCTCTGGGAACAGGCTCCCTAAAGGAGCCTGCCAGCGTGGGTCTGTTCACATGGAAACGGCATCAAAGGCCAACATCCCCATGATACACATCTCATATCTTACCCTTCAGCCTCCTTTTCTCCCCTGCAGGAGAACCAGCCACAACACAGGAAACTCCTAAACATTCAGTCCACTGAACAAGGAGACAGATACTACCTTTGGGCTGAAAAAAATATCTAGAATTTAAATAAGAATCTAAATTTACCTGAGAATCCTTCTTAGCAGAGTCTCTGAAAAAGCTACCTTGTGACCATGGCCTTACAAAAATAACCTGAAGTAAAGACCATATGTTCACCTAGCAGCATGAATGGATCTTAAAAACATGGTAATGGGTAGAGAAAGTAAGAAACCAAATGAGATCTATAATACAACACTATGTGCATGAAGTAAAAACACATGCACACAAAACACCACCACACATTTTGCAGGAACATACGCAAGCACAAAGATAGAGATTAAACATAAGAGAATGGTTGCTTATGGGAAAGGAAGGTCATGGGAGTGGGAGGTAGGGCTGATGGAAATAAGGAAGAAAGGCAAGAGGGAGAGAGGGAGATGGAAGGAAAGAAGGAAGGAAGGAAAAAAGGAAGGAAGGGGTTAGGTGGTGGATGGGTAGGGAGGCCAGTGGGCTGGCTTTGCAAAGACCAATACTGAAAATGCTCACTGGAGAACAGAGGTGTGATTAATTTCACCCTAGGCACCTGAGGTCTCAAACAAAGGGGCAGAGTAACCTAAGTGATTTCACCAGGCCCTGAAGGGCTCCTTGCAATGTCTTGGGCCAGAATGCTTCCTGGAGGCACAGAGGGGCAGTATGTAAGTCCACGTGGAGGTTTCTGTTTAGCCCGAGGTTGTCAGGGAGGGAGCCAGGACTAAAATGTGCTCTGCCCAGGTCCCATGAAGTATGCTGAGGAAGGGAGGCTGGGGGCCCCGTGGAGGTTTCTGTTTAGCCCGAGGTTGTCAGGGAGGGAGCCAGGACTAAAATGTGCTCTGCTCAGGTCCCATGAAGTATGCTGAGGAAGGGAGGCTGGGGGCCCCAGGGAAGCAGACCCTGAAGAAGCACAGGCTAGAGTGAGCCCCAGGACAAGGTAGCCTCCCCTGGCTGCTGCAGGGAAGAACTGGCCCCAGTGCAGAGAGCTGATTCAGGACCACAGAACAGGCCTCAGGCCCAGATGTGGCGGGACCGCCATGCAAGGGAAAAACAAAATGCTCCAGAATGACACGTTGGACAAGTAGACAAGACTGGCTGCAAATGCCAGTGGTTGGAGAATACTATTTTTAAGGCCCCAGTGTAAATGTCTGGTTGAAAAGAAGCAAGGGTTTTGTTACCCGTACCATTTAATGGACACTTTGGAGGAAAAAAGTATATGTATTTAAAAAGTAACTTAAAGTAATAAAAAAGTAATTGCATTTCATTTTGAGAGGGAGGCAAAGATCTCAAGGGGAACAATATTCTTTCTACGGATTCCATAGGGAGAACGGCCTGTGTAGCTCTTTTCTAGGAGCCTGCACACCATTTCCCACTGACCACAAGACATCTTCTGGAAGCACCCCAACACCAGCACCCCTCCAGGCTTCAGTTTTGATAAAGGGCCCCATCTCTCTCCCATCCCTCCCCCAGTGACCCAAGCTGAAACCTCAACTCTCTACCACCCACCATGCTGCTCCAGCCTCTGGGCTATTCTGCCCCCCAAATGTCTCATATCTTGCCCCTGCCTTTTTCTCTCCACTGTTACAGAAATGTGTCATTATTTTTCTATTTGCTCATCAAGCGCTTTGTCGAGCACCCATGATGCACACGGGACGATGTGGACAGGGGAGGTCCAGAGATGACTAAGGCACCACCTGACTTCAAGGAGCTCGCTGCTCAGAGGGGAGACAGAAACCCACACTGTAATATAACAAGGTAAGTTCTGAAATAGGGACGAGTGAAGGGTTTTACGAGCGGAGGGGAGAGGCAATTAATTCTGCCATAAAGTGCCAGCCAAGCTTCCTATAGGAGGTGATATTTGAGCAGGGTGCTGAAATACCCATAGGATTTCCTAGGTAGATTGGGAGACTCATCACCTCTTCCCTGGACTATTCCAGAGCCACCTCACCAGTCTGCTAATGTTCAGGCTCCTAACCCTAAATGCATCCTACACCTAAGTCCAATATAGTCCCCCCACACAGAGCCCTGGATATATTATTCACTAGCACAGAATATTCAAGGGCTCCTTGCTGCCTAATGACTTACAGTTCAACTCCTCAGCAAGGCCTCAAAATCATCTCTGCCCCGCCCTAGCTTTGCTCCCAGCCCCATCTCCTAGTGACTCCTACACCTTCCCCTACAGACTACTCACCTCTCTTCCCACACTCCAGGCCTTTGCCTGTGTGGTTCCTGTTTGTACATCTCTGTTTGGCAAGACCTTGCCCATTCTTCAAAGGCTATCCTAAATGCCACCTCACTATGGAAACTTCCAGAACCCACCACAGAACTTCGTTTATACACCCCTTGAGGCAGTTAGGCACTACTGGTCATCTTCCTGTGTTGCTATGAGAAGACAAAGACAACTCTCTTTCTTTCCCCACCCAATCCTGCCCCCAGGAAGGCAAGGCCACCTTTTATTCTCCTTGGTCTGCTTTTTAACAGAGCCTCACATACATCCTGGAAGTAAACACTAACAACAGTTTACTGAACTGAACCAAAGAAAAATGAATTAGGGTGAGGAAGGGAATGCCATTCCTCTAACCAAATCCGATTCCTTCTTTCTGTGCTGCCAACCCCTGCCCAACACGTCTCCTTTCTTTTTCTTTTCTCTCTTCCATAAACTCTCACAGTGACTGGGTTCCATGGTCTCTTATCATTTCACTCCTTCTTCTTTTCTAAATCGTTAGCTGAACCACTGGAAGAGGTGGGGGTCTGCCTCTCTCCGGAAAACATGCCACACACACTTCAAACAGCTGGCTTCTGAGAATCACTAAAAGCCTTCCTTCCAATAGATGCTCCCTGGGCTCTGAAGGCCGGGAACTACTTCACTCTGTGTCCAAGCACGAGTGGCTTTCATTGGAAGATCTGCACAGAAAGGCTTTAGATGCCAGCACTTCCTGGCTCCACACTTCCCTCTGCACAGCCATGTACAGAAATCTGCCCCTTCCTGGGCAGGCCAAATGATCCCCACCAGCCACTTCTGGTGATTAAAACTCTGAGGATCTATTACCTCTGAAGTGTGTTTGGCAGGATAAACAAGCCCCTGTCTCCATTGCTCAGAGGCCTGGCCCTGCCTTTCAAGTGCATCAAAGCAAAACGGCAGTCTGAACATCTCACACAAGGAACTTCTAAAGGGGGCATTGCTTTTTTCCTTTGGTTTAAAGGGAATACTTAAAAGGGAGGCAAAAAGCATGTGAATAGCTCTGGAATGCCAAATGGTCAACAGGTAAATTTCTGGCTTCCAAAAGAGGAGCAAATGTCAACAGCACTCAAACCTGGTCCTTTCAGGTCCAGGCCTTGATCCGTCACCCTCCATTTTACAGCAGCTTTAGCCATGCCCTACAAACACATCAGCTTTTGGGGAGTAGAGAATTTCAGAAAGAGAGAGAGAAAAAAAAGATCTCTTCAAACTGAGGAGTGGAAGGCTATTTTTCTACCTGGATGCTAGAGAGCAGTTACCCAGATAAACAGGTGTGTGAGCGTACGCAGAGCTGAACACTTAAGGCTTGTGCACTTTATGCACTTCACTGCTTACATTTCACATCTCAGTAGTATGCTCATATACTTTTTTTTTTTTTTTTTTTTTTTTTTTTTTTTTTTTC